TATTCTGCATTCTATTCTATTCTGCATTCTATTCTATTCTGTATTCTATTTTATTCTGCATTTTATTCTATTCTGCATTCTATTCTGTTCTGTTCTGTTCTACATTTTATTCTATTCTATTCATTTTATTCTATTCTATTTTCCATTTTATTTTATCCTATCCTATTCTCTGTTTTATTCTGTTCTCTATTCTATTTCTATTCTATACTGCCTCTATCAGTTTTACAAATAACTGAAAGTGGCAAATATGTCCAACCCAACTTCCTTCTCTTAATTTCCCCACAACAACAACCCTGTGAGATGGGCTGGGCTGAAAGAGAAGGGGGGGAGCTGGCCCAGAGTTACTCAGCCTAAGGTGGGACTTGAACTCATGATCTCCCACTTTCTAACCTAGTTTCTTCCTCACTAAAACCAAACTGGCTCTTTTTGCAGAACTAGGCTTATGCAGAATTTTACTGAAGCCTTGCAGAATTTGACTTACATTTTTTTTCAGCTCTGCAGAATTTGGGTTTCAGGTTTGAATTGCAAGTAGGACCAAGCTTAGCTGTCTCCCTATCTCCAAAATGTCAGGCACAGGTATAGATACCTACATTAAAAATACGAGAAGAAGGAACATTAATGTATATTTGCTTCTTACCTACAAAGTAATAAAGGTGGGATAAAAATAAATAAATTAAGGCAGAGAGCTTGGAATGACGTCAGCACACATTTTCCCCACGTTTAATAGGGTCTTCTTACATAGTTTACATTTCTTTTTCTTTGTTTAAGATCCTGAAGATGGAGATAACGCAAACAGGAATGCCAATCATCTCTCTTTTGACCTACAATGTGATTGATGGAAAAAACTTCACTTTTATGGCATTCCCTGCTGGAGATCCTTTGTCCCTTGAGAAGCGGCTTAAAGCTGCCAGCAGCCTGACTGGGTAGGTTGATGTTTTAATGGAATCCCCTTTGAAAAATCCCCACAAATTTGAAAACAGGCAAATCCCAGTTCCTGTTCATCCGCCAAAGAAACGTCATTCTGCCCAGATCTGGCACGTGCCTGCCAGCCAGGCCTCGGTTTCCCCATTTTCTTCCTTTTGAAAGACTCCCGAGCAGCCAAACAGGTTCTGGGAAATAATTTGAAACCTAGAAAAACAGTTTATTACCGTGTATTTTTCCATTGCGTTTTGAGTGAGCTCTTGCCCTCCCATTCTCTTGAAAAGCGCAACCAGCTATAAAATCCACAGTTCTGGGGCTGAAAGTCTAAAATAACAGCCACGTACTTTCTGGAATACACAAGCACTGGGCCCTTTTTTTTTTCTTTTTCTTTTCCTTTTCAAAAAGAGAGCCAGAAACAAAAAGTGTCGTTTTAGGGGAAAATGAAAGAACAGTTCTCAAAAGGACTGACATGCTTTGAAAAAATGGGTTGGCCTGTCTGAAGCTTGGTGTGTTGCATGAAAGAACATAGATATGTCTAACCCAAGGGTCTTCAAACTTGGCAAGTTTAAAACTTGTAGA